CCTCCATTAGAAAACAAACGAACCCAACCCAAGCCTGACCTACAGATGTACCTAACTCAAATATTATCAGTTTCAGCTTTATTCTACCTCTCCAGGAGAACATCCAGAACAACACTAATCATATATCCACTTAGTTTAACAGATGTAACCTAAATTGATACTACTTTGACCATTTTTATTGATCAGACACATGCATCTTAACATCCAGCAAATACCAAATCATCTATATATTAAAAAAAACAGCTTCCAGAATGTAATAGTTGTTTGAATATTGGTTAAAGAACTAAATATAAAGACCTATTTCATTTTAGCATCCCTGAGATGCTCACTCCTTTCGGCCATACTATAAAATCCTGAACACGTTACAAGCCAAATTTACTGTTTTCACTTATCGCAAGAAGTCAGCATTTATCATCTTTCTATTCCTTCTGGCAAACATTCAAATAACCAATGATTTCTAATGCAGGCAATGCTTCAGCAGCTGACTTGGAACTCCCAGCCCTAATAGATCTCATGGCCTGTGACCAAGCTTTTGATGCAAGATTTCTTCCACTTCTCAAAAGCATCAGGACAAAGCATTACAAAAAAACAAGCCCTAAAACCCCCATGGTAGAAGCCAGGAGGTAGTTCTTGCCTTCCCATTTGTGAAAACCAAGCAGTTTAAAACTTCATTTCCTGCCAGCAAGCACTGCCAAAACTCCCACTGCTTTAACTGAAACCAGGATTTTTACAGACAAGGGGTACTGGATGTTCAGCATGGAAATGAGGCCTTTCAGATGCAAGATAAAATGTCATTCTTCACCATCAATTTAGGATAAACAGCTAGCACAGCCAGACAGCTGTTTACTCTCCTAATTTGGATATCCTTTTAAGAGGCTGGCAGCAGCACTACTGCCACAGAGAAAGCACAGCCAGGATTTTCACAGAACCCTCTGTAAGCCCATTAACTGCTTTGGTTTATTGCCTCCAACACTTCAGAGGAAGAGTTCCTCTCCCCCCTCCTCCATGCTACTGCCTATTGCAGACTCTTCTGGAGCCCCCATTTCCATTGGAACACTGTAGCTTCTTGAGAAGTTTCTCTCTGGGCACCACTAGGGAAGCATTCAGCATCGCCTGGTGATCCATAAAGCTACAATGCCAACACCTGAAGTTTCCACTCACGTTCTGAGAAGTGAGGAACACCTAAAGGGGCCTCTTCAGCTCCACAGGCTCAGCCCACTGGCAGCTGCCCACCTTTCCTGTCACCTCCTTCTCCCTTGCGTCCTTACCTCATATGGCCGGAGCTCGGGGGCTGTGCTGTTTAGGCAGGAGGGAGTCCATTGGTTGGAAATGCTGACTTTGACATTACTGAATGTCTTTCTGGAGGCATGGAGCAGGGAATAACTGCCAGGAAACACACAGACACACAGGTTGGCCCAATCTCCTCTGGAGGTCAAGGGTGGAAATACAAATATCTGAGCAGAGGTACACTCAACCTACCTGAAGAAGGTCAGCAGGAACACAACAATATGATGGTGGGTGCAGTGGGACACAAGGCCTCTGCTGGCAGGCTGCCTCCGTAAGCTTCCAGGCACAGCCATGTTCCTGGCAGCCCTACCCCTGCTCCTGATTTGGCCACAAGGGCTGGATGGTGATTAAGTCATTCTTCTGCCCCCCTAAACAGAAGAAGATGGGAAGGGAGAAGAAAAGAAAACCAATTTGAATTAAAACACATGTATGAAGTACAGCTCTGTTCCCCAGACAGCTCGAATCCAGATGGAAGAACTCCATGCCATGCCTTTCCAACTTGTTTCACACCACCACGCATTCATCACTTGTACATTCCTCAGTAACTTCTATGGCTTAAGGTATCTTGTTATTCCTATTCTCCCAGTACCCCCGCGGCACTTTGTTTTTGGTTCTCTCCTAGCAGATGCCTCTTCAGTGCCCAGGACCAAAGGAGTATCCCCTGGATCTACCAATTTCCAGCAATCTCCCATTAAAGACCATTGTGCACCATTTACACACATGGTAACTAGAGCGTGACCACAAATAAGAGCTTTCTGCTGCTACCTGGCTGGACACAGACAGGTGATGAAGCCACAAGAGCAGAATTTGGCTATGGCTGGAGAAGGGTTTGAGATCTGACTGCCTCACTAAGATGTTGTTGAAGGAATATACCCAAGAGTGGACTTGCTTAGATGGAAAAAGGGAAGTAGCTGTGAGGACAGTGCTGAAATCCAACAGCTGGAATCCTTTCCTGTTTATTCTCAAGCCTGACATTACAGTTCCATCAGTCCCCAACTCATTAGTACAGCACACAAGTCACACTTTCCTGTCCCTACCTGTAGGGCATGGGTGACACCTGCCTCAACCTTGAGACAACCAGAAACTATCAATACTGAGGGAAGGCCATCGCAGACATACAGTTTCCTCATGCTGCTCCATGCCACACCATTCCAATGCCCCAGCTGAGCTAGCATGGCCGAGGGATGATGTTTGCTAACAGATTTTGGGAAACGGCCCCACTGGGCAGTGTGGGGATGAATCTCTCACCACACATTTCAGAGGACATGCCAACACTGCAAACATTCTGAATGCTGAGCAGAGGTAAAATAAAGCACTACCTCTGTTCCCCCAAAAGATCAGTACTGAAATAAGATAGAATATGATGCCTGTGTGTCCTTTTGTATCCACAGGTGCTGCTTGTAATTATTTGCACATCTGACAGAAGTCTTTTCAAGTTCAGTTTCATAACCTCACCTGAAGAAAGTAAGTCATTGTCCAGTCTCTCACCCAAATTTCTGCTGCTGGAAACTCTTTATTTCACACAGACTTTTTATTCCTCCTTTTAAAGCTTTCATCAAGACACCTTTCACTGCAAGCAGTCTCCCCTGTTCTCTCAGTGATGAGACATGCCTGACCAACAGCAATATCCAGCTACTGCTGGATATGCAAACAATTGTGGAAACTGACAACACATCTGACCTCCAAAAACAGTGTGGCATGGACATTCTCTGAGTAACACAGACCCAGCTATGACAGCTTTGAGACACTGGAGTCACATTTATCGTACGTCACACCTGAACACCTCCATTCTCATCCAGGGCAAATGCAGTGAGGCTGTACAAGACCTGACACCATCTGTCTCTACACAGCCCAGGAGCTCTTGAGCCACACTGCCACTGCTCCAGCTGGCACACAGCGCCTCTTTGTAAGGACATGTGTCTAGACTGCTTGGGTTCACACAGAGGAGAAAAAAGTGCCTACAACTGGAGCTGTGAAAAGGCAAGACTAGCCCTGAAAAGGCAACTTTGCAAGCAGTCTTGATACCACCTTCACCTGAGGTCCCAGACCATTTCTCAGCACCAGTGAAGGAAGACTCAGCACCCACACAAGAAGCACACAGTGCAGCAGTAACCATACAGCTCAGGGCTGTCCCCCATGCAAGCTGCACTGAGAAGGGAAGCCAAGGCACTCCAGTTTCCCAGCTCCATGATCCTCACAGGCCTGTGAGCCAGTCTGCTGGTCAAACAAGAGATTCCTTGGCTCTCCCTCCCCTCCCACCAGGCAGATAACAGAGCTGTCCTGAGGAAAGCAAAACACTGCCAGTTGTGCAATGCTGTGGGGAAAAGTTCCTTCCTTGGGTAATCAGTCCGCAGCCCAAAGCACAAGATTTACTACTTGCTTCATGTCAACATATGCAAATACAGATCTTATTTGTCCAAGATACCGAGTCCTTTTAAAGCTAAGACCTGGTTTGACCTTAAAGTCACCTGGTTTTTTTTTTGGGTTTTTTTTTGTTTTTTTAAAAGCATTTACTATTGAAATAATCTGTTCCCCAGAGCTTCTCAATCTCAGGTCTTCTTTCTAGAATACTTTCTGACACAGAAAAAAAGTTAGTCTTCTAATTATTGTGAGAACACCACAGTAACTTTGTGGTGGAGGAAGAGCAAAAGCTCGTCAGAAGGATGACCCACAGAATTGAAGACAGTGAAGCACAGGTCTTTATGAAAGGAAAAGGAGTGCTTTTAGTATGTTAGACTGCCTCATCTAATTATTGACCACCATTTACCTACAGCCAGCTGGTATTCTGAGTAAGCTTTTGATAGGCTTTCACCCTTATTTGTTAAGTTCTCCTTATCCTTTCACTTAAAGGCAAAATAAGACACCTTAAGTTCAAAACAAACACCCTTAATGCTACCCTACTGCCCTCCAAAGCCGGCAGCCTTAACATTCCAAAGTGCAAAACAAACGAAACTATTATTTCTTCAAAATAACAGCAATTTAAACAAATCAAAGAAAACCCCATCAAACCCCAACCCAAACCCCCAACAACCCCAAACCGACTGGGGCGCAGTCCACCCCCCAGAGACCCCTATGCCATTTTTCCGAACCGAGAGAACAGCGGCACAACGCAAACCCACCGAGGACCCTCGGCAGCCAGCACAAGCAGACCGTGCGCCACCGCGGGTGCGCCGCCGGATGCTTTCCGGGAAGAACGACGAGCGGCTGCCCCGAGCACCCGAACGCTCCGGGAACGCTCCGGGAACGCTCCGGGCTGCCGGGGAGGCCCGGGCCGCGCTCCCGCCGCGGGCACGGCCGCCCAGCCCGAGCAGGGGGCGAGGAGGAGGACGCGGCTCCCTCCGGGCGCTGGGCCACGTCCTCGGCGGGGCGGGGCGGGAGCGGAGCCGAGCGGGCAGCGCAGGGCAGGGCCGGGCAAAGCAAGGTCGGGCAGCGCAGGGCAGCGCAGGGCCGGGCAGGGCAGCGCAAGGTCGGGCAGCGCAGCGCAGGGCCCGGCCCGGCTCCGCTGCTCCGCGGCCGTGCCCAGCCCCGCGGCGCCCGGCGCGGCCGGAGGAAGCCGGCGGCAGCAGCGGCCCTTCCGGGCGGCAGCAGCGGCCCTTCCGGGCGGCCCCGCGGAACGGCGGGAGCTGTAGTCCGGCCGCCGCCGCCGGGGCCCTGCGCGGGGAGGGGAGGGGAGAGGGCGGACTACAGCTCCCGGCGGCCCTGCGGCAGGGCGGGGCAGCGCGGCGCCACCTGTCCCGGCAGGTGAGCGTCTGGGACGCGGCTCCTTCCCCGCGCCTGCGGCTCCTCCTCCTCATCCTCCTCCCCAGCCCGGCCGCAGGCCCGCCCGGCAGCCGCGATGCCCTTCACCAGCACGGGCGCGGACGATGCCTTCGACTACCTCTTCAAGATCATCCTGATCGGCGACTCCAACGTGGGGAAGACGTGCGTGGTGCACCGCTTCAAGACGGGGCAGTACAGCGAGAAGCAGCAGAACACCATCGGCGTCGACTTCACCGTGCGCTCCATGGACATCGACGGCAAGAGAGTGAAGGTCGGTGAGGGAGCGAGCCCGAGCGTCCTGGCGAGCAGCACCTTCCTGTGCAGGTGCCAGGACGCACAGCACCTCCTGCTCGGCCCTGCCGAGGGCAGCTGGCTGCCCTTCTAACCACGGGTGCTTCCCAGTGGAGCTTTCTCTCAGGAGGATATCCTGGGGGAAGCAGGCACCCTGATTTGGGTACATACTTCTTCTCGTGACTTCTCTGCATCACCTGCGGAGAGGGCTTGTGCTTTGCCTGCAGGGAGTTCTTTGGAAGCCGGCTATAGTTTGGAGGGGATGTCTCTTCCCTCCAGAGATGTGGCAGTTTGAGCTGGGACACCAAGAAGGGAAAACCCCCAAAGTTTGCAAAGGCTCCACTTTGATGTGGGCTTAATTTGAGGGAAGACTTCCAAGACAAACACCAGAAGAAATTATCAGCTAGAACTTCCCTCTGTGTGCAGATGAAAGTTAGGATTGCCTGGCTTTTATGTATAGATTTGCTCTGCCCAGTCCTGTATTAGGGTTCTTTACTCTTATTTTGCTATTAACAGGCTGTAACGTTCTGTATCTTTTACTACAGTTGTTGAAAATGGGTTTCTTGGCCTCTTTGCAAAGCTGGGTTCACCCTTAGAGCTTTCTCTTTGGTCTGTGTAGATTGACTCTTCAGGCTTGTAAATGGCTTTTTGGATCTAGGGAGGGCAAAGCCACACTGGTCTGGTAGAGTGAGCTGGGACAGGTCTGGCTGCCTTCTGGACAAGAGGCTTCAAATGCTGAGGGCAAGCACCTAGGAAAGTGGTGTTCGCTGGTCTTTACAACTTCCATCCTTTCTCTTACAGATCCAAGTGTGGGACACAGCCGGTCAAGAGCGCTTCCGGACAATAACCCAGTCTTATTACAGGAGTGCCCATGGGGCCATCCTTGCCTATGACCTTACTAGGAGGTCCACATTTGAATCCATTCCTCACTGGATTCATGAAATTGAAAAGTATGGTGCTGCAAACTTGGTCATGATGTTAATTGGTAGGATTTTAGTTTTAAATATTGTATTATGTAGATTTTTAATACGGACATAAAATCTCCCTCGTTTCCTACCACTACTACTTGAAGCATCTATATACTATGCAAAAATTCAGTTCTAATTAAAATAGATCACCAAGTGTGTCAATTCAACCTAAGCTTAAAAAAATGAGGAAAGTCATAGCCTGGTCCTGACAGGACCAAAACCCATTGCAGACAGCAAAACCCTTTTACATTATTCCTTTCCTGCTGGAATAACACAACAAGCTTTGCTGCCAGGCTGGAGGCAGGGACCACCTTGTTGAGTTAGAACTGCAGTAAGCCTGGCTCTGTAGGCTGCTGCAGAGGAATGTAGCAGCTCAATAATTCAAGGTGAAGGGGGATGCACAGACTCCTGTGGTTCTCATCTTTCCTCTCTGCTCTCTTGATATGCATGCGCACTGCTCTGTAATGGGATTCCGCGCAGGTAAGACAATAGATGGGGAGATGGCTTTTGCAGAGCCTGGAGTAGCCTGCTTGCATTCCAATAGCGCTCAGGAAACTGCCTCTTTGAGGAAAGCAGTGGCTGGGAATTGCCGGGAATGGAGCTGGTAGGAAGCCACGGTTCCTTTCTCTTGGGTTTCATGGTTATTATTGCTCTTCCTTCCCCCAAGGAAGAAGCTGCAAACGAGGGCACTGTTGCAGTGAAACGCCAGAGCCTTTCTTGCCTTTATTTCCATTGGCGTGGCTGAACCTGTTGCAGTGTGCTGCGAGCAGCTCAGCAGCCGGGGCAGGGCTGGGCCCCAGGCAGGGCCCCTGAGCTGCTGCCTCTGCTCCCAGCACCCTCCGTGCTTGTGCTGCCGAGAATTCTCCTGGCCTTCCTCTGGAAGAAGCAAACGATAAATCCTGACCTGCTCCTAATGCAGTGCTTGGAACTGGGGCAGGGGAGGTGTAAATCACTGCACTTTGTCTGGTTTTTTCTAACTTCTATCATGAATCTAAAGAAAGAGACTTATCTGTGTGTGGTGGGGGATGGTGGTGGTTGTTTTTTTAGAGAGAGAAGTTCTGAAATCAGTAAAAAGTGAAGGTTTTACTAAGGATCCAGCTAGATGTTTTCTTCCGGATCTGGTGCTGTTTGCTTTACTTACATTGGGAGAAGCCGTTGTACATTTAAATATGCTTAGTCATGTTATACACCTTTCTAGCAGGAGGTTAAGGTTAGGAAACCTAACTTTCCTATCTGGAACTGAAGGAGGAAAAGGTGGGTGTGTTCCTTTTAAGGAGGCAAATAGCCCTCAAACTGATAAATCCACATGTGCTGCAACTGCCTAAATATACAAAGGTGTTTTAACTGAGGTGTTTAATTATAGATTTTCACTAAAGTGCTGCAAGTAAAAGTTTAATCTATACATGCAGAAACAAGCATATATTTCAGGCATTAAGACAGCTGACCTGAATTTTTGTCTTTCTTGTTACATCACCCTAAAAGGTTTTTTTTTTTTTTTCAAAATTCAACTTACCTGAAGAAGGTCAGCAGGAACACAACAGTATGATGGTGGGTTTAGTGGGACACAAGCCCTCAACTTAAAGGCTACTTAACATTTAAAACCACAAGGGAACAGGACCAACACTTGCTTCCAAATAATCTTTCACCTACACTAAGTAAACAGATGAACACAGGTTGTTAGTTTTTTCTTGGATTTCATCTCTTTTGCTGTCATATGATTTGCTGCAGTTTTAAGGCAGTCTGTATCTGTGGCTCTGATGTACTCACAGCTTGTTCTATCCAGTAACTCTTACCGCTAACATAAAACTATTGTTTAACAAAATTGAATTCCTGCATTGCATTTAAAAATAAATTTTTGAAAGACTAAGTGGTTGAAGTATCTCTTTGCTTTCTTTTAAGGGAACAAATCGGATTCGCTGGACAAGCGCCAAGTGCTGTTTGAAGATGCCTGCACCCTGGCAGAGAAGCACGGGCTCTTAGCTGTGCTGGAAACATCAGCAAAAGAAGCTCAAAACATAGAAGAGGTGTTCACATTAATGGCTAAGGAGCTGATAGCCCGAAATACCTTACAGCTTCATGGGGAGAGCCCTCCAAACAGCTTCAGTCTTGACTCCAGGCCAGTGATTGCCAGTCCAAGTGTGGAGAAGACCCAGTGTTCCTGTTGAAGAGAGACTTTAAGGAGAACTTGGAAATTACCATTCTTCTGAGGCTGTTTGATTCAGTTTTGTTCAGTTGATGAAAGTGTTTTATGTGGCCTCAAGCCATCTCTCTTGATATTTCTGCCTTGCAGTTTGGCTTGTGAGTATTTTCAGTGATCATTGTTGCTGTTGGTAGCACAGGTTGCTTTGACAAGAGAGGACTCAGGAAGCTGCCAACCCTTGTCCTAACCAAAGAGAACTGCAAAAGTTATTGCCTTTAATTATTTCCTTACATGTCTTTCTGGCTGTGTCAGAAGATAAATTTGCACCAGAGTTCTGCACTGACCCTTCTAAGCTGTGTTGCTGGTTTTAAGCACTTTCTGCCAGCAGCTGTAAAAAGTCTGATATATGCTTGAACAGCACTAACCTGCTCCTGCCTAAACTTTCATTTAGGAGCTCTCCTGAGGTCAGGCAGGTAGCCACCCATCCCAAGGAGCTTAATAACATTTGTGAAAGAGTAGAGGATTTCACATCTACCCTGAGTTCCTCATCAGATAAACATGGAGACATCTTTGGGGTGGTGTAGCAGGCAGAATACACTTCTTCCTGGGGTGAGAAAAGCTGCCTTTCACTTGCTTTGTAATAGACAGGATTGCTTCCAGTACTGATCTCCATCCTGCTACATGGACTTGCTGGGAGCAGAAAAGCTTCCAGTGAAAGAACCTTATTTTCATTCCTCCCTGCTAAACTCATCTTGCTTTTGATGTGCTGATTTTAACCAAAAGCCGTTTGTAGCTTGTGTGATGGGCCAGTGGCAGCTTGAGAGTATCCCTGTAGGTTTTCAAGGGAGTTTTAAGGATGGATGCAAGCTCCTGTAAAACTCCACAAGGGGTGGGATGGTTTAAATTAGGTAAAAAATAAATTGTGTTAGATTGGTAAGGGGTATGGGGTGCACCAGAGAGCTGCCCTAGGTGAGTGTATTTGCTACTGCTGTGGAGACTGAACATGGTGGTAGCAATGGAAGGTTTTAGACTGCTCCTCCCAAATGCAAGCTCTGCTACTTGGGGCTCATTTTTCTGTATACCTGAACTGAATGTACGGTTTGGGCTGGGTGTTTTTTTAGTGAGGGTTTTGAGGTTTTTTGTCCTGTTGTTTGCAAGTTTTTTTCCCAGTAGATGGAAACAGGGAAGGAGAAGGAGGAAAGAAATATCAGAGGAAGTTTTTTTGACTGCAGTCCACATAAGTGTATCACCTAGTGTATCACCTAGTTACCGTTAAGCTATGAACTGCAACTCCACCTCTGTAATGATAAAACACAGTCTGCATTACATGCAAAGCAGCCTTGGCTGGCTGCCCCTCTTTCCCAAGTCCTTGAAAAATACGGAAAAACATGTAGCAAGTAACACTGGAAAATCCTGTCTTAGAAGCACAAAAAAATAAAGGAGAATGAATCATTAAGTAATAGTCTTGGAAATACTTCTAATATCCTTAAAGCTTCCTCTGGCCAGGTTCTTTGCTATTACATGCAAAGAGCAGGGGTTAATTCAGCTCTATAAGCTGAGGGAGGAATCTTCCATGCTACCCTCTTGCTATAGCCTGCTGTGGAGAAAGCTTCATCTTCAGGCATCCTCCTTATGTTTACTTTTTAAATCTTTAATCCTTCATTTTTGCTAGCCTAGTAGTTGCATTTTGGTTTGCATATTTAAGCAACATTAAATACCATAGCCTTTCAAAGTGGCAAGCCAGCTTCCAAACAATGAGTTTCTACAGAGCAGTCAAATGTGAGCTTAATATTTATATTCCTGGTAGTAGTTTGTAATCTATTATTTTTACTTTTTTTTTTGGTAGTTCCAAAAGACCACAATAGAAAATGTATTGCTTTCAGCTCCAGTAGCCAGCCTTTAATTGGTCAAGAATTAGAGGAAGGATGGTACCAGCAGAGTGTTAATTTTGCATGGTTTATTGGGTTTGCCATCTTAATTAACCACTACTGTATGAAGTTATTTTGCTTACCCTCAGTATGGAGACTTCTGCAGGCTAATGTGATGCTGAGTGCCCAGCACTGCCAGGTTTCAGGGCTCTTGCTGTTCTCTCCCACACATGTGGAGCTACTGGCAAAGGAAAACCTTGGCAGAAAGCTGTGCAACACAGGATCAGGAAGAATAGGCTTGTGACTGTTCCCTTTAACAGGTCTAACAGGCTTCCTACTCCTCCAAGAAACTTAGTCAGATACCTACCCATTGTGCAGCTAAAGCAGGAGTGTGACCTCTTTTTTTGGTTGTTTCTGTTTGGTGTTTTCCACGAGGCATTTGGGCAGTTACACTGAGTGGTTTCCACAAAGCTGCTTTTCCTGCTGTCCTTGCTTGAGTGAAGAGCAGCACTCACTAACAAGATTCTTTGGAGTACATTGGTAACGCTATTACTTGTGAGGTAATACAGGAAGCTCTGAACTTTTAAAAAATCCCCGTTATTCTAGACTGTGAGAACCACTAGATTGAAATACAAATTCAGCATAATCTCTGTGGTTCGGCCTTTCCCCATTAGAGAGCAGATGGAAACACCCAGCTGTGACAAGGCAAAGTAGCACTAACTCCTATGGAGCCTTCTGTTAATGGTTTGTTCTCCAGCATCATATGCAAATTCCAAGTCCTTCTTGACAGCATCATTAATAGATTCATACAAAGGGTTATAAGGTTGTTTGCAACACTATTTCAAAAACTACTGCTGCCCCACAGGTTTCAGTTTCAAGAGCTGCGCATTCAGCTTGAAGATGAGCTCATTTGTTATGTTCTTATCTACTGGGAAGAAGTATTTGAATCCTTGCTGTGTGGCACATTACTTGCACTGGTATCACAGCCAGGCCAGATGAGAACCATTACCTATTGGTAGAACAGGGTAATAAAAAAATCAGAAATATTTTTAAATGTACCAAACTGACACCTCCCAGAAACTGACTAGTTAAAAGCCAACACAACCCAGCAGCCCAGTGATGTGGAAGGCACACAGCACTGCCTGTATGGTCCAGCTTTGCTTTATATGCAGGAGACAGGCTCTCAGTTACAAAAGCTGAGGTTCTCATCTAATCATTCCAGTTAATGTTTAAATATAGTTGGAAGGGAGACAATTTTCAGATGCTGAACAGAGGTGGAACACTCTATCCTGGAGCCTTCTTTCAGGAAGAAGGTGCATGTCTGTGTTTTTGAACAAGGAACTAGAAGTGAAGCTTCTCCCAGCCAGGTGAGTGCTCCAACGGCAGCACTGTTACAGGTGTCCCTTTCGCAGCAGGCATTTTCCTGGCTCTCAGCTCCCAGAACCCATGTTTGCCTGCAGGTGTGTGTGAGGGGCCCAAACAGTCATTGCTCAGCAAACTGGCTCCTGAAATAATTTTCAAACACCACTCTTAAGCAACTGTGTTAAGAACTGGAACTACACCAACAGGCATTGCTGGGATATCACATTATTTTGAGAATAGTTCTAGACAGGCCAAGAGCCCCTTTGTTCTAAGAGTACTCCACTTTGAAATAGGAATTGTTTCAGATGGACAGGGCTTTCAAAAATCTTTTAAAGCACTTTTTCTAATGCTGCTGTTGTAAATCAATATTCACATGGCTGCCTACACAGCTCTGTCAGTGCAGTCACATCAAGCTGTTGTCAAGCAGGGGCTGACTGGCTTGACAGTGTGGGACAAACAGCATACCCATGGATAACCAGAGTTCAGCTTATTTGCAGTTCTACATTTCTTTGCTGCTGCTGTGTCCAGGAACATTACTGCTTATACAGTTTCCACTCCTAAATCTAGTTTTGCTAACCTGAAAGGAGGCTCACCACAACTACAGTTTAATGCCTTTCTAATGCTAGCAATTAAACTGACTTTGTAGCTACTTGATCCCTGCAGCACAGTCCTGTATTGTAACTCAATCCTAAAGGATTACATGTAGATTCCCTCATTTTAAATTGCTGTAGCATTAATAATTTCATCTACACAAGTTTTGTTCCAAACATGAGATGCCCATAGCTCATGGTACCCTCCAAATACAAATCTCTGTACCTGCAGTAGCAGAAGTTACTTTGTATTTCATTAAATGAACCAGGTATTTCCTCAAAGATTACAATCCACCTTGGCCACCATCTGAACTAAAGCAGCAGAAGTTTTAACAAGTATGATCCTTGTATGATCACGTTCAAAACAGGGAGAACAGGTAGCACACTAACACTGCACTTTCCATAAGAGTAAAGTCAAGGTACCTCAAAGGACAGCATCCATCTTTTTCTAAAGCTTTTTGATTTGAAATTAAGATTCTGCTGGTGGAAGTTTACAGAGACTTCATACCCTTTCCACTCTGACGCTACTCTAATTGGCCTCTTCCCTTTCTGTACCTTAAGTATTTCCTTGAAGAGAATGTAGCACAGCCAAAGTTGTCACCCTCCATCTTCTTATAAGCTTGATTATACTGAATTTATTCCTGTTCTCACAGAGGAAGAACACAGCAGCCTACTAACATACTTATTTCAGAGACCCTACTATTTTCAGCTGTCCCAGTCTGGGGCTTGTGGGGGTGGGAATCACAATGCTCCAGCCAGCTTAGAAACAAGGCTCACGCAGCATGGTTTGGACAGGAAGTGGCACCCAGCAGCGCTGGCTTAGGGACAAATACAGGCAGTTCCTGAGCCTGCACAACAGGAACCACAGCACAGCTCAAATCAACAGGAATTATTTGTCATGCTGTCCCTGAACACATCAGTGGCTGTGCAGCTCCACCCACCAGCCTCCACCAAAGCACATCACTCATCTGGCTATTCTCAGTCTCCTCCGTAATGTGTACAGGAGGAAGCTTCAGAAGCACCAGCAGCCACCGCTGTGCCATACGTACACCCAGGCAGGGAGTAAAGCACACCATTCCTGACCCCTTTTGAAAGCAACCTCACACATGCGCTCTGGCTGGTAAGTGCATTGCTTTTTTCCATCTTATCAGAACACAGCTTTGTTACAAACTACATTTGAATGAAGCTTTCCAATAGGATGTAAAAACTTATGTTCACCATGTAGGGCAGGGAAGATTTAACTTTTTTCTCTTTTCCCCCTTTTATTAGTTTAAAGTGTAATTTGCTCAAAATTACATTCCTTTCCTCCCTCTGCTACTTGGACCCTGGGAAAAAAACAAACTGAACAAACCAAAAATGGCTTTACTCTGTTCATTTAAACTTTTTTAAAATCATGTCCCCAGCATCTTAATATGCTTCTAGCAGTTTACTTCCAACTTTGTGTATTTCTGCAGAAAAACGTTTTTATCTGAGCCCACACAGGCTGCAAGCATGTGGAGCCCCAGGAAGTGGCCTGTAGCAGTGCTTGGACTTGCTGCCCAAACAGCATTACGATAGGAAACTATGGACAAGAGTATGTCCTGCAGCTGGCTTTGTCCTGTGCAAATAAAATTAACACAACAGTGGAGGACTGACTTCTGAGAAAGCAAGACACATCAGTTCTTACCAATGATCCCAGATATTCTTTCATTGCATCAGCTGTCTCAGTTGTCCATTTGGAATGTTTCTCTTGCATTACAGGCTCTTTGCTGTAAAGGTCTAACAATGCTGAATTCTGTATTAAACATAACACAGTCAGTTCTGCAGGATTTAAGAGTAAGTGACATAAATGCCTTTGTATTTACAGAAACACACTTAAAAATAATCAAGTCAAAAACCAGAACCTTCGATCTTAAAAGAACAGACTGACTTCTTGTTTAATTTTTTTTACTTTTTTTATTTGGGAAAAGTGCTTCTTACAAAAGGCAGCTGCAAAACAATACGTTATAGACCTCAGAACAATTTCTCATTCCATTTAAAAGTGAAAGGAGAGGCAGTCTAGGGGACAAGAGCAGCAGGAGAACAGATCACGGGGCATCAACAAGTCAATAAAAAACAGCAATAATGTAATGCAAGGCTAAAATTCCTGTGCTGGGGCTTTGGTGGCAAAGTAATTTCTCAATGCGAATTACAGCCAGAAACTGCACGACTGCCTTTGTAAGCAGTAACTTTACATAAACTGAACAGCTTTACCAGGCAACCTGCCCATCTCAGCTGCAGAGAGGCACAAGTACCTCAAAGCAGCTGGGAGGCACAGCGAGTTTCTAGCAAAGCTCACGGCTTAAGTGTTTACATGAAGTTCTAAAACTTACAGAGCAATAAAGCTAAAGGGTCCTCTCTGGTGTTCCTCTGACCCCACCTTGGCTAACCGGATTTCTGCTCCTGGACAACCCTAATCATACACATGAAAGAGAGCTGGTGTATTAGGGAGTGCCATCTATCAAGTTAAGCGATAGTCAGGATCGTTTCCCAGTCTGGGCTGAGACCACTAGACCAGTTTCATGTCCAATTGGAGGCAAGACTTCATGCACCAAGAGGGGGTGAAAGATGGTTTTGTTATTTTTAACTTACACAGAGTCTCCCCATCCTTGAGGTCCA